CGTGCAGCCGAGATTAATGTGGACAAAAAATTAATCTCGAAAAAAAGAATCAAATACTCAAATAATTTTTGTATGGTCATAATACTTTGCTGAATGATAAAATCTTTTATATACAATATAAAATATAATAAATATAATTATAATGAAAACATAAAATGATGTCAAGATAAAAAGAACATTCAACTTTTGGCTAAAATTAAATTCATTTATTATATTACGAAAAAAATAGCGGAATGAATCAAAATAAGTTCTTTGCTTATTTTAATGAATTGATTGACCGCCGCCATCATCTCTTGTCAAAAATCGAGGAGATCCACGACCAATACTATATTATAGGAACAGGCTGGAGACCAACGCTTCAGTTGCGATTTTCTACGGTTTCGACAAGTGCACCGAGTCGTTGAACTTTTCGCAGCAATAATTGACGTAAAAAAATCGAAAAAATCCATACGTTTTTTAAAATATTTTCCTTGTTCTCGCGTAGTTCTTTTGTTGACACCGCCACATGTATATTATTTATTATTATTATGTGTGTACGCATTAAAAAATTATATCAAACCGTCGATAATCTGACTTGGGCACGTTGWAGTGTGGACGACGGAAAGGGGAAAATGAACCGGTAAAAATCGAGGAAAAGTATACTATATATAATACCGCGACACGCYGCGGTCCTAACCTGCCACCAATTACGTACACGCACGAGTTGCATAACATATTATGATGTATAATAATGTTGTATACATGTTATTTATTACACGACACGTCGTAAAAATTCACACGAAAAACTGGGGAAAACAACTTGTGTGACTCGGCGTGTAACTGTGATTATGGTCGTCATCGCTATAATAAAGTTGTACGCTTTACCTAAATATTTAGGTAATAACTAAACTGTATAAGATAATTATATGTCAAAGACGTAAAACAATACTGCYGAATCTGAATTTGAAGTATTATAAGTAGTTTTTTAGATTCTGATTTCTGAACAAATTGATGACCTGATGAATGTATTGATTTTACAATGATGTGAATTTTTTTTTTTGTGTTTGTGTACCTAATAAATAGTCGAAATAATGCTTCAATTTCAAACTTTGGGGGTGGTTTCCGATGTAAAAGTGAATATCCTTGGTGCATTATAGAGATCAAAAGTAAACATTTTCCAACAGCTTTTCAAAAAAYTCGAGAAAAACAAAAAAAAAATGACAGAAAAACGGGAATTTTTACGCAAAACCAGTTTTCGACCAAATCGATTTTTTTGTATGTTTGTAATTCAAAAACTAATCACTGTAAATACTTGAAATTTTCACCAAATGTTCAAACATTGTTGACTTTTTTTCAGATATTTATAGACCACTGAAATTTTCGATTTTTATCAGAATTTTTTTTGAAGTGTCGGTAAAAAAATTTTAGATGACCAAAAAAAATTKAAACTTTAATATTCAAGGTTCCTTATGAGTTGTTCTTATTGTAGCTAAAAAATATTAAAAATCGTTAGTCACAATTTTTTTTTATAAGCRTTTATAGTTCAAATTTTTACGAAATCTATCGAAAACGCGAAAATTTGCAAGTAATTTTGAAGTTGAAAAATCATAAAATTGTTTGTGTTTATAACTAAGAATTAAAAATACAACACTAAGTTTTCCATAAGTTTTTTTTCAAGTAACTATAGAGAAAACTCGAAGCATCATTATAGGAAAAATGTTTTGAGCGTTTGAGTTTTAAATTTTTATGAAATCGCGTAATGATAACGATTTATCCTCAAAGATATGTCGTATATCTATGATAATATAAGGTATTATGATTTATGAATTATGATAACTACATGCAAGGTTTTTGGAAAAAATTGATTAACCATGCCTTATGCAAAATGCGTCCTAATTGAAAAATAAAATATTTGTTTCAAAATAGAATATATGACAATATTCAAATATAATATATCCTAGACTAACAAATCATCTCCGTTCAGAATCCTTTTTCGTATAGAATGATACCTATCATTGCATTCAAATCTAACCTACCCTAGTCAGAGGTCCACCCCACCACCTAATGTACAGCAGAGCGATACCCACTTTCCCGCTTTTTTTTACATTTGAGTTTAACGATAAAATCTTTATTGTACTTTGTAAAAATAATTCTGAGCAAATAAGATCAAACCATTATTGGTAATCGATGTTACTAAACAATTATTAATTAAATGGTAATTTAAATTAAAWTACATCAACATAAATATTCTATTTATTTTTAATTTCTTTGTATATTTAAAAAAAATGTATGGGAGACTGAAACATTAGTTTATTAGTATATTATAATTATACAATTATCATCATCGGAATSCGACGCGTTCTCGCCGTTTCATCACACATTCACACTTCATGCATTATATACGTACTTACGGGTAGAATACGATTGCGCGCGGTACCCTTTTGGTTTACGATTGCGCGTGTTAAATACGATTACACGATCGTGCAATATTGCCAAATTTAATAACACGATGATACAAATTCTAAGATAATTATTGTCGTATTTATCTGATTATGTCATCTTTTATCGTAATTTTGAATTCCTACCATATACCATATGTATRTAGTTGAGTTACCTACTAATATCTGCTGTAATAATATCATTCATCATCATGGAACCAGTAAACGAAGTACGTGTGATTTTGTCCGAAAGAAAAAAAACGTTACTCGTGGTAAAAGAATTTAAATATCGTTTAATTAATAAACGAAAAGATAATTTGATGAAATGGACATGTACCAGAAAAATGTGTTCAGCTACTATACTAACAAAATCGAATTACACATTTATATGCATTTTATGATTTGTTCGTCTATTTTATTCTTAATTGCATTGAATCTGTATGAATTTTGACTAAATYATTATTAAAAACTCTTAGATCAAGCAAAATTAAATTACCTTCAATTTTTTTTTTTTTATACTACCACTAAATTAAATTATGCCTAGTYTGRCAACATCGCATGAAGTTTTACGAGCAATCGTACATATATCTTACCCAAAATGTATGTTCTATTGTCCCATTAAAACGTGCGCAATCGTATTATGAAAAAGGTAAAATGCGCGCAATCGTATTTTACCGGTACTTACCTATATAGCACACGTATCGATCATCTCTGCTCCAAGTGACTTTAATATATTATGATTTGACAGATATAGGTTTAGCCACAGAGGTGTTCCCATACATTTTTTTGAGAGTATACTAGCTATATATTCAAATACAAACATTTAATACAATAAAAATATTTTTCTTATGGTTTATAAGAGTAAAGCCGGTAAAGAGCGTGTCAATAATATGAAAAAATGTTAAACCAGATTTTTTATAAATCCTCTTTATATTACGTATACATTTCGTCAATCTTTACATATATTGTATAATATCGATTATGATTGTGAGCATGCGCAGTAAATGCATAATATTAAAAAAAAATCTTGACAGTATACTGCTATAACCAGTATAACCTATATGGCTATATGTAGTATACCCTAAGCCCGGCCTAAAGGAACACCCTGGGTTTAGGGAACGTATATATATATACCTCAATCACCCTACCTGTACGCGATATAAAATAATGATATAATAATATACCATTTCATTGGGTGAGATGGTTTTCGAAGACGGCCAAACGACCCAACTCCGCTATACCACCATAATACGATGCGTTTTATACCATACGTTAAGCAAAAATAAAAAAACAAAAATACGTTACACTTGTAGAAAACAAAAAAATCCAATTCGTAATGACAATAGCCTGCACGATCGCACCGCAAAATCGCATTTAATCGTTTCTGTCGAAATGAAAAACGCACATTCTTCTAACGTTGTCCGCGTACTATAGAAATTACACGGGTACATAAACATAATACATAATATAATATAAAGTTGCAACATGTATAGGTTAAAACAGCGACATCGTATTATTATAAATTATAAAARCACTATCCACATACCTAATAATAGAATAGATATTAATATGAATATAAATATAAATTAATAKTAATATAAAAAAACCTACTCGGCGCGTATACATCACAAAAACCGTATTACGCGAGCAAATGATCATCGCCAAACGGTATTTTTTCGGTGTTTTTAAGCCTTGTTCAGTGGTTTTCACTTTTCAGCCCCCCCGATGCAGTGAAATTATTGAAAACCATTCAATTGTATATAGGCATCATATTTTTTTAAAGCTACGAAAGAACACATTCGTCATAAAAAAAAATTTGTTTACAACGCAATAGGTTAATAGGTAATGATAATGCTTCATTATAGGTTTCAACTTCATAAAATTATTATACTTTCGCGGAAGTAAACAAATGATTTTTTACAATCGTAAAAATAAAAACAGGTAAAATAACAAATTCGCCAAAGAATTAACCCGATTACGCTGTCAGACGAGTAGGTATACATATTATGAGTATTTATGACCTTGAGACTATGATAAATGATAATACGGACTGTCACACGAAAAAGTAGTAAATTTTGAGTTAATATTATGAAATGTCTAGAGTAGACATTCTATATTATGTACTATAGTAGCTTGATAAAATTATTTGTTTCAATTGACAAATTTGACTTGCTATGTGATGATGAGATACCTAAATAAAGATACTTATATACCTAACCTCAAGTGTAAAAAATATTTTTTTTATTTTATAAATAAAAAGACAACAAATATTATAATTGCCTACCTTTTATCAGTATTAAATCAATAATTATTGTACAAAATTGATGATGTTAGATTATGATTATGTTTTTAAAACATACACACTTATAAATATGTTTATATAAGCATTTAAATAATATTTTTTATATTTTATTTATTTATTATCTTCTAATAGACTATTTACTTTTTTCTTTCTAAATTAATTTGCCCATTATTACAAAAAATTCCATTACAGGGAGATAACAACCTCTGTTCACCGGTAAGCGATTAAGTGTAATGAATTATCCATGGACAACGATTACCCAATCAACATTGACTCGAGCAATGGAAACTTGTTCAATAATCCAAAAACAATTGCCTGCAAATATACCTCTGACATTCAAGAATTGACCCCCTGATTTGTTAATTGAAGGAGCACCAATACAACCTGATCCACCTATAGAAAACACCGGAAGCCTGAGTTATATGTAAATAGAAACTAAATAAATACCTATTTACTTCTTAAATAACAAACCATAACTTATTCTGATATTTAGGTGTTTTATAGAGATGGAGCTCGTATAGAAGCTGCTTTTCGACAGTTTATTCATAGAGCTCTGCCTGAACAAAAAGAAGACTCTTATGAATTTATAGTTTGCCATACAAATGTTATAAGATATTTTGTTTTGAGGMAACTATAATATTTATTTGTCATATACAATATCCAATCCTTAGTTTTGTTCATGATAAAAATGTGAAAATACAGGTATCCACAACCATAACATATTATATCGTAACCAATGTATGGATGGTTGTCATGGTACTGCAGGCCACCTGCTGAACGCTGCAGGCTCTTGTGTTCGTGCAAAAATGACTATATTCGCAAGTAAATGTTGTCACTATAGTCATGTCTGCTAAATTGCCTAATATAAGAATATCGTACTATATCATATATTCATATACTTATAAAATAAAAATAGTAACTGGAAGTACTAACGTCGTTTGGTTACATTATTATAACGTCCTTTGTCTTAAGTGATAACCTTCACCGTCTGCAAATATTATACTTTCGGTGGAAATCGTTACTAAACATTTTTTTTTTTTATTTACTTAAGGTATTTTTAGCTATGTTGCTAAATTCACTGTTTTACTAATTAATAATAATGAACTATTTATAAATATGTAGACAATACAAAAATAATATTTTGTAAAGTGCATTGTCTCGTCCGCGATTGACGGAAACGATGACAAAACCCTCTCTCGGCGTGTGCCAAACTAATTATCAATTATGATACTATTATAATATCAACGTTAATTTTTTTTTTATTTAATTGTTTAATGTCAATAAAAAATAAACTAGTGGCACGGCAAACATTTTTTATCCATAATAGGTATGTATCATATATTGTTGTTCAACAAATTAAAAAGCTACGTATCGGCTTAGGTACCTATACGGCATACGCGTTTAATATATATATATTTTAAATATAATGTAATTACGAAGTAAAATTAATGTTTTCTCGTTTAATATTATTATTTCGATGCTTGCTTGTCAAACAAAAGGYATCATAGTTTTCATTACCTGATATAATAATGTTTTTATATAGGTAGGTAAAAACAATAGTATAGTGCACACGATTGGTATAAGAAACATCTGAACAAGCTGTTCAGTAGAGGCATTTGAAAGTTTACACTTCGGTATGTCACAGCACTGCGTAGAACGAAGCGATTAAGTATTTGAAGTAGAAAAGAAATCAGAATTAATATTAAAATCTGTTTTAATAAATATACATGATATATAATATTATAATATATACAATATGCATACTACGCAGAATTTAAGAGTTTTTTCTATATTAATTACATACAACTTAATATGATATTATAGTAATAATAATAATAATAATATAAATTTCAAAACAAATATAATATTATTGCTTTTGTTTGATATTTTATATAATCATGTTATCATCACTAATCAGAATCAACTTGTTAGAATTATGGTTACTATGGTGTGGTGAGGTTTTCACCAACTGGCGGGCTCATCGTCGTATAAACTATAAGATGTAATGTTACATGTGTTGTTAATATTACAATATTCAGTTCTTTTTTTAATTTATAATTTTTTATTTTTTACAACTATACTTATATACCACTAGATTAATATTTCCTATAGGAAAACAATATGAGGCAATTAATGATAAATTAACGACTAAATAAAACTAAAAATAAAAATATAATATAATATATATCACGTTAAAAATAAATTGTACATTTAAAATGGGGCACATATTATATGATACACGTAATATTATCACCATAGGTAATTAATTATAATATTATGAACGATGAGGAGGCAGAAGAAAAGTAAAAAAAAAAAAAATTATAACAGTAAAACCATCATCAGACGTCAACAACATAAAATATATAAACATGATTTTCCTTTCTTTTGCTTCACAAAAGCATTCAAACATATGCAATRACGACGTGCATGTGTCATAAACGGATCGTGTGCCACGTGCTGGTTAAAAGAAGAGAGGAGTGGAATTGGTGACGATGATTAAATGGTACACCATAAAAGATGAAAAACGGTAAAGCGCATATCGCAGGTTAATCTCTATATAATATCCGTTCGGATGACGTGTGACCGACATCTCATCATTACAAATAATAAACAGTATCGGCACGTTCCACAGACATTGCATTCACGTCATAATAATAACGAGCGACGATTGTTCGCGTTTTTGTTGGAAATATAATGATCCGTGTGTACACACACGTGCATAATTATTATAACGCAGATTAATATGTACATCGATAGACGTAATATGTACACGGTTGTATGATGACCGGAGCTGGCACCTCAACCACCCGWGATGGACTGCTGAACGAAAAAATTGGAGTTTTTGAAAATAATTTATGGACAGATTACGAGATTTACGAGTGGTGGGCCTGGGCATCGTCCGGTAATAAATTGCAGTTCGGTGGAAAAAAATCTTGTCGACATCGGAATTTCGGTAAGACTATTTTAACACCACACACGCGATGGTCTCGCCGAGTGCAAAATAAATAAAACTACYGGTAAATGCAGTTACAAATGCACGTCATAATAATGATTATATAATTATAAACTCTTCTTGACTACGTGGACACCGTATAGTGGAAGCACTTGTATACTCGGTTATTTGGCGAATGAGGTACTAACTGTATAATATATTATACATTGCAATATAGTACAGTATAATATATTCATATTGTAAAAATGTATTAAAAGTGAGCGAATGCGATTAGAATTTATCAACTCCTAAATAGGTAGTATCATACAGTTAGTTACTAAAAATAACAACAAAGTAATAATAAAGATAAATATTTAAAAAAAAAATAGAAAGGAAAACAATGTATCTAATGATGACGCCGACGATCACGAAGTCGAACGACTAGTACACACCTTCTATACTTAATAAAATAAAGTTATATTTAATGTCAAAATGAACGTTTAGTCTGTAATAGCGTTTAGGGRGTATGCCGGCCGATGTTTTTTTTTTATATATTCTTAATTCTCTTGACCATCTCGCAAATTCGATTTCGCGTGTGTGTTTTGGATATCCCTATAACCTTTTCCTTTTTCGAAGTCCTCTTCTTCTTCCTCCTCCTACTTTTGAATCATCTATATTCTGTATATTATCTTATGTACACGACAACGATTTACAGTGATATATATTGTATTAAATATATAATATTTAAGATGACCATCGATCACCACTAAGTCGAAAAATTAAAAATGTTGGTCAGACTGTGTATTATTTTAAGTATTTATAAATGATTAACGTTTGAAATGGTGCCAAAATAGAAAGACACGAGAATTAAGTAGGTACCTGAAAAACAAAAAACAAAGACATCGTTACTAAAAAAATATTATATTATACACAAAAATACTAATAATAATCATTATTTWGATTCTTTATTAACAATTTATATCGTTGATCTTCATCCAGTGACAAATCGGTTTACTACGCATGTATATTATTTTATTTTATATTTACCCAAAATCAATGGCGGTCAATATTTCAATAAGCTCATAATATATTTTTTACATAAATTCTATTAGCATACTAATGTTATCTTGTCGTTTTTTTTTAATCATTTAGGAATTTGGATTATGTAATTCGATCGCTGTTCACAATTGACTTGTGTCTTGTACTTACTACTTAAGACAATCGTAATAATATCTATTCTATAATCTATAGATTTTTTTACATTCTATAAATAGATATATAATATAATTCAACCTATTTATGTACTACTGTATTGTGTAAATAGACTATAGAGTATATTGACTTCATATTAAGATGGAATACAAGTAMAATTTAAGTAGTGAGTATAAGTAATATTAACCACCTTAAAAAACATATTTCTGGATATTAACAATCCCGGAGACAAACAACGTATTTAGATTCGGAATAGATGTTTACAGAATATATGTGTTAAAAAAAATACCTCAACTGCATTATATTATCATTTAAACATTATATAATATATTAAACAGATTTGTGGTAGTTTTATCATGGCCGCTGCTATATCAACGATTAGTATATTATGATAATATAAAATATTATGTAGTGTATTTACGATATCGTGGTTATTGGAAATCGATAAAAAAAAAAACTATTAAAAACTACTTAAGTAATAGCACGCATATCTACATATTATTATATAATAAAAATATACAATGTATATATATTATAATTTATAAAATTATAGTGCGTGTCAACATCACGTTGAAGACAACTCAAACATTGGGCAACTTTGTGAATATAAAGATTATTAGAGTTCACGCGATGTAAAATTAATGGAAATAATAATCTGGAGAAAAAAATCGAGGGTGTGTTGTCTGCGATGTGTTCGTTGGAAATTCGAAAGAAATGTATAAAAGAATAACTGCAGGTGTATCGTTGTAAAAGTATACACTTATTGATAATCGGTTTATGCGAAATATAACATTCAATGCCTCCATATTGCTTTTACAAACAGATTTTATTAGTCACACGTAAAACTTTAACGACCTAGCAGAGTAAATATAATTTATCTGCCTATTAATATTYGAACATACAGCGCTAGAAACTATTAAATTCTACTTTTGGAATGATTTTACTCAACCGAATACACTCTTAATCTTTAACATAAATTATTGCCATACCAGGCGATTTCTATAGGAAATAGTGGTAACGAAATTTTTGTAAGTATGAGTACCTACTTATTTGAATTAATAATTTTTATTAAACACCTTGTTAACAACACATGACAAGGTTTCTTATAAAGTAAAACTGTTTAAAATCTGAAAATTAATGTTATTTAAAATTCCTTTCAATATGATTGAAAAATAAAAATAAATTATCAACAAATTGATAATTGCCAATAACCACAAAATATTATACCTAAAATAAAAACTTTGTATTCTGATTCAARAATGCACGTAACATTATGTTATAGAATGAGCATTATATGTTTGGGTAGCTAGTTTTAGAAAACAATGCAAATTACAAAGTGCATCGAAATACCAGCCGTGAAGTCAGTATAATAATATTATTGTAGTGCAATACTCAGCGAKATGAAATATAACAGGACAGGTACATAATATGTAGTAGTACATTTAGCAGTATATTTTATTGTTTGTATATAAGTTAAAATTACAAAAGTTGTT